TGTCGTGGTAAAAATATGCGTACCATCGAGAGACAGTTACAGCTATGTCTCAACAAAATCGAAAAATGGTGTCTTGAAAATGGTTTTAGGTTTTCAAAAGCTAAGACCAATTGTATTCATTTTTGTAGAAAATACAAGCACCACAAAGATCCAGAACTATTTTTACATGGCACTCCTATCAAGGTTGTAGAAGAGGCCAAGTTCCTGGGTCTCATTTTCGATCACCATTTAACTTTTAAGCCGCATATTAACTATCTTAAAACTAAATGCCTGAAGGCTCTAGATTTGTTGAAAGTTGTTGCCAACACGAAGTGGGGAGGTGATCAGTCAACTCTCCTACACTTGTATAGGTCTCTAATCCGCTCTAAATTAGATTATGGCTCCATCGTTTATGGTGGAGCCTGTAAGAGCAATTTACAAAAATTAGATTCTATTCACCATCAGGGCCTAAGACTATGTCTTGGCGCCTTTCGAACGTCTCCTCTGGAAAGCTTATATGTAGAAGCTGATGAACCATCGTTAAAGCAGCGGCGTATCAAATTATCGCTTCAATATATTGCAAAATTACGTTCTAACCCGTTAAACCCTGCATATAACTGTATATTTCAACCCCATTACGAAGACCTTTTTCATAGTAAGCCTAAGCTGGTCCCACCACTAGGCATTCGGATTAAACCCCACATTACAGCTGCACATATTGATTTAGAAAATATTTCTCCTTTCAGGCTTCTGTCTTCCCCTCCTTGGCAACTTATCAGACCGGAGGTGGACTTGACTCTCACACAATTTAAAAAACAAGACACAAATCAATTAGTATATCAGCAAGAATATTTACAAGTTAGAGCTAAATACGAATCCCACCGTTCTATTTTTACAGATGGATCCAAGGACGGCAGCACAGTCTCCAGTGCTGCTGTCATTGGATCAAAAACCGTCTCATCACGTTTACCAGACTATAGCTCAATATTCACCGCTGAAGCCAAAGCAATATTAACTGCTTTGGAATATATCCACAACCAGTACAGTTGTAATCGGTTCATCATCTTTTCAGATTCACTTTCTTGTCTACAGGCAATCAAATCTAGCTCTTCACATCATCCATTAATTTTAGATATTTTAGAATTATATAATGACCTTGCTACTGGCCAACACGACATCGTCTTTTGCTGGTTGCCCAGTCATGTTGGAATCACGGGTAACACTATGGCTGATGCTGCAGCAAAAGCAGCTCTCAACAAATCTGTGACACCACTTCTTCTACCATACAGTGACTATAAACCTGTTATTAGATGCTATATCAAAGACCTAATGCAGAAGAAGTGGGACACTCAAGTGGGTATAAATAAATTACATGCCATCAAAGCACATATCGGTTATACTTACTTGGGTTGTCAGTCCAGATTTGAAGAGGTCATTATGCGACGATGTCGTATTGGCCATTCTCGTTATACTCATGAGTATTTGTTGAAAGGTGAAGATCCTCCATTTTGTGTCCCTTGTGATGAAAGAATCACAGTCAAGCATGTCTTGCTTGACTGTATCGATTTTTCCATCACAAGGGAAAATTATTTCCAGGTTTCATCCATAAAGGATCTTTTTACTGTAAGCCCTCGTTTAATTCTTGGATTTTTAAAAGAAATAGAATTGTTTGATAAATTTTGATATGTATTGTAAATAAATACGTGATTTTAATTTGGTATAATGAACTAGTAACTGAGATTGTTGGTGGCTGTACCTTCAAAGGGGGTTGAAGTAACGTAAAATAATTGTCCCCCTGAGAAGGTATGTAAGTCCCATTTCATTCAAAGTATTTTTCATTTTCCATGTTTTTAATCGTAGAATTCTTGTTGTTTTTTAATGTTTTGGCTTAAACTTGCCGACAATCACCAGTAGCCAGAGGGATGGTGTAAATCCTGCTGGGTTACCATGTAGGTAGCAGAAGTATCGTAAGTCCCCATGGTACCTAGTATGGTGACCTACCTTTGGTTATTGGTGATCTATAGCCCATTTTTATTGTGTACTGTACTGAATTGTTATGAATTTTATTCTGATATGCTAGTTTTACATCTACATCTGTGATAGTCTAGTGTTTTTACTGTCCTTTGTCGACAGATTTTAATGTCTCTATGTATTAATATATAACTTGATTTAGTCACTATATGGCTGAAATATTGCCGCTGTGACTTTAAATTTTAACTCACTCACTCACTTCACAGGAAGTCGACCTGCTGGAAACATAAACATTCCATTTTTCGCAAGATCAGCTTCTCATGCCATACATCTAGCTTTAGAACGTTGAGTGTGGTGCATTAGTGATTGTATATATGTATCTCATAGTCAAATGCATTCATCTATGTATTTGTGTGCAAGACTGTGATATGATAATGATATATAAAATGATAAATAAAAATCAGAAATGCAACTATTATAGTTAGTGATGTATGTTATCCGGACTGACGGCTTACAGCAACATGCGACATGGTCTATTGTACCGCTAAGCCTTTATTTGCCCAAATCTCACGAAGTCGACCAGGGGGATTAACGTACCCGTGTCCACTCATTGGAAACTCGACTTTTACAGAAACCGAATGGAGCTGGTTTCACCAAGCGCATGTGCTTGCCCGACGACTTAATAAACGATGATAAATTAGGAGATAAACATACTGTGTTTTCAAGGTTGAGCTGGATTTCAAAAGTTACATTTAGGGCGGTTAAATCTACAGCTAACCTAGCTCTACATTGAAAACACAGTATGTCTATCTCCGTTCTACCATGACGAAATAAAACGCGAACTCTTTGATTTTAGCAAATACATTGCGTGAAGCGGCATGGGTTGAGTCCAGTGTTTTGTGTGGGTTGTCGATCTGAATTACGGAATCACCGACAACAGCCTTTAAACAAAATATGGCGCTCTATATGCTCAAGCAGTTTGTTTACACCATACTACTTCACTCGAATATATGACAGGCACTGAAAGCATAAAAGCACGCCAACTTGGTTAGCTAACACGAGGTGGTCACCCCTAAAGAAAACTAAGCAAGCTTTCCAAAGGTTTCGCTCTACACCGAACGCCACCATTATGACGTCACTTTGCGCATTGTGACGCAACAGTTATCACGTCACAGTCGTATATAGAAAGGAGCCGAATTCAAAGCTCTCTGTTGTCCCCAAAACTTAAAATACATTCTCTTTGTAGACTTCTATCGTGTTTTCTGCACGAAATGTATTGCCACATATATGAATATGGTAGTAGCCGCAACTTTGCATTTTGGCACCTGTAATTAGAACTATGCCTACCGACAATGGCTGAAAAAAGTACTATTCAATGATTATTAGCTTCCGCGGTGAAGCGGTCGTCAAACCAGCTGTTTCAATCAGAGGGGTTTTATTGTGATTTAATAGACTCTGATTGACAAATCAGAATCAAGAAATTTCGAAATTTACGGTAGAATAACTCATAATCCATTCTCATTCGATTCAGGTATATGGAAAAGCCCAAAATATTTCTTTGAAAATCGCCACACAAACGTGTAAGCGATGAACCTGATATGACGGCATGACGAATAAGAATATTAGGCGCTGCCGAAACACGCTCTCGCATGACAGAATGCGATTGACGAATGTATTCACTACTTCATGTTATTCGTGAAGGGTATATTGTGACACGTGTTTCTCTCATTTGTAACCTGCGGCATTCGTATATAATTATATAATAAACCATGACCCATGCATTCGCACTGGTTGGCTGCAACGAAATAATACTGACATTTCACATAGAAACTGTTTGTGTTGGGCTGGTTTAGCTTGTCTGTAATATTGATATGGGCGAAGATTTAAAATTTGACATTTGAAAAACGTGGTTGCCTGATCATGAAAATCTGCATTACTTAGACGATTTAAATAACATTTAATGTTTATGTTATATATGTAGGTCTCACATCTATTGGGTCCTTGTGGTGCCTTGTCTCAATAGTGTTTTTTTATGTTGCAGTGCATTGACTTTGCATGAAAGGTTACAGCAAAAAATAAGTGATCGGTGATGATACCAACGAATCTGAAGATTTTGTGCTGATAGTGCTGCATCAAAATGTTTCAATGCAGAATCGTGTTTGAATGAGTTTCGGAAAACCAAATCAATAGTCTCAGTGAAATGTGGAAATTGTTATTCTCGTTGAAAGAGTGAGTGAGAGAGTGGGTATGGTTTTACGCCGCTTTTAGCAATATTCCAGCACAAGAAATGGGCTTCACATATTGTACCCATATCGGGAATCGAACCCAGGTCTTCGGCGTGCCGAGCGAAGCTTTAACCACTAGGCTACCCGAGTGCCCTTCGTTGGAAGATCTCGTTGACATGATTTAATGCCATCAGGGTCCATTTACAATGCGGCAGATTCCACTCAGTGAAGGCTCATGGTGCTACATTCTTATTGCCCTGCTTAATGCATCGGGGTGTACTCGTTGCTGATCATCACACTTCCATCTCTCATCCTACCGGGTACCCATTCAAAGAAGCACATTGCCTTGCCTTTGTAATCGTGTTGAAAACATTACCAGGCCATTACGGACCTTCTACAAAAGGGGACACGTTCTTCTCTATTTGCACATACTGTCTTGGGTGTCTGTCCACTTGATCTGCGGCCGGTTGCATGTGGATAGAGACGGCATTCATGGCAGCAGTGAATTCGTTTCCACGTCGCAAGATTATGACGATGTCGTGCGATGCACCGCGTTAATTTTGCCCTTTGATATTCTGCGGTATGCAAATTACGATTCATCAGTACGACATCAAGCAGCCCTCAAACATGTGAACAGTTTCCTTGCAGACATCTTCCTTGACGGTTTATAATCTGTACTAAAATGTGTAAAGAAATGCAAATTCATACCCTGGAAAATCACTAACATCTTGACATTTTATTATTCTTCAATATATAGATTACATGAAGAATTCAACCAAAGTTAGCAAACAAGCAACAACAGAAATGTGGCTGTAATATTTTGAATACAGTTGTATCGTATTATCAGCTTAATGACAACACATTTATCAGAAAATGAACATGCAATGGCATTATAATACTAATTAAATATGGTTCGTTTGTACATTAACACCTGCTGTATTCATAGTCCTAATGTAAACACAAATGGACAAATATTACTCATGATTCAACCTATGTCAGTATGGGAATGTTTCCTTCAACCTTTCTTCATATACTTTATCAAATCGCTCGCTCTGGGCCACAGTGAACCAGTTCTTCCAGTCACCAGTTATACCTGTAACACAACATATTTATTTGTTTCATGAATATATTTGATACACCAAATTGTCGCAGTGCTGACTTGATCAATATAAACGATATGTCTAGTTGAAGTTTCGGTAATTGAGTTGGTTAGATCGCTGACTGTGTGTGCTGGCGATCACGTGCCTAACTCTTAGAGTGTGGGGTCGACTCCCGGATGCGACTTCAAACATTTAAACATTTGAGACAATTACAAACAGACAGAGACTGCAAGCTAGAGACAGGTAACTTGCCTAGTGAACAGGTTTTATTTTCAGTTGCTAAATTACCTTTTCTGAAGTATCCACTTGAACCATCTTGCCAGTTAAAGTGGTAGGTTTGATCTTTTATTTTTTCGTTAGCGTGCTTGAGATTCTTAAAAGAGCAAGCATCGGATATAGCCTGATATGTTTGATCCGGTAGACGGCGTCCCAGATAATCTGCCATTCTTCTTATTTCCTGAACGCAATCCTGAAATGGGTACAATTTAATGAAAATGTTCACGGTTAGGTGCTGTGTCTCCATACTTGTATAGTATATATTGTTATGTATCTATGAGTGCCTGGTGGAGGGGGCACCTCTTGTGCTACTTTTATTGTAATATATCTATGTACATCAGATGTTAATATCGGTACTGTAATAGATCTATGTACATCAGATCTTAATATTGGTACTGTGATAGGTCTATGTACATCAGATGTTAATATCGGTACTGTATACGTAATAGATCTATGTACATCAGATCTTAATATTGGTACTGTGATAGGTCTATGTACATCAGATCTTAATATTGGTACTGTAATAGATCTATGTACATCAGATCTTAATATTGGTACTGTTATAGGTCTATATACATCAGATCTTAATATTGGTAATGTAATAGATCTATGTACATCAGATCTTAATATTGGTACTGTAATACATCTATGTGCATCAGATCTTAATATTGGTACTGTAATAGGTCTATATACATCAGATCTTAATATTGGTACTGCAATAGATCTATATACATCAGATCTTAATATTGGTACTGCAATAGATCTATGTACATCAGATCTTAATATTGGTACTGTAATACATCTATGTGCATCAGATCTTAATATTGGTACTGTAATAGGTCTATATACATCAGATCTTAATAGTGGTACTGTAATAGATCTATGTACATCAGATCTTAATATTGATACTGTAATACATCTATGTACATCAGATCTTTATATCGGTACTGTAATATATCTAAATACATCAGATCTCATTGTGGTACCGTAATAGATCTATATACATCAGATCTTAATATTGGTACTTTAATAGATCTATATACATCAGATCTTCATATTGGTACTGTAATAGATATATGTACATCAGATCTTTATATCGGTAATGTAATATATCTATGTACATCAGATCTTAATATTGGTACTGAACTATAATTATGTACATCGTATTGATACTGTAATGTATATTATGTACGAGCTACTATTGTAATGTTCACGATACCTCATGTATCCTGTGCTGATTGAAATATAGGGATTTGTGTTGTCAGTTCCCGCGATGGGTTCAATTTATATAGCTGCTGTCTAAGGTTATGCAACTACTTGGCACTAGAAATTCAATTCCAATTTGTGTTTTGTGTTGGGTGCGCTTTCTGTGTAAATTAAATCCACTTTGAAGAACTAATATTATTTTGGTAAATATTCTATGTTTCATGTACACATTCATTTAGACAGAATATGACAAGACCAGGGGTCACAATGAAGTCCTCAGACAAACTAAATGCAAGAAAATAGTGTTTTAAGGTTTCAATACAAGTTTTCCCTTCACGAAAATATGTCCTTTTAACTTAAATTTGCAAACCCTTTCCACAAACCAATGTACGATTTTGACTGTATCATAAATGTGTCTGTAGATCTACATAGAAAAGAGATGACATCAGGTGTTCGCCAAACGGTGAGCGTATCCTTCCCCGCCAGTTGCACCCGTCACAATCACCTTTTTGCAAATACCTTTTTCAAGTCTTCATACTGCAGTCTGCAAATTTCAAAATCTTTGTGGGCTTTCGAAATGTTGTTCCATTCAACTGTGTGTTCGAAGTAGGATCCACCAGGAACTAGAAACAAACCATTTCATATTGTTTTTAATTTAACGACATACGACTTTTCCATCGGACGAGTTTGGTCAAGTGAGCGCGAAATTGACGTTCAAAAGTGTATGAACGACACAATATGACTTTCATTCGTTTTTCACGAGACTGACGGACTACTGTCACATTCCTGGGGGACCCCCATGCACGAATTCATACAGAAGCGTTGTTTCTGATCATTTAGACTCTATAATATTGAACTTAGTATACATTGATAAACATCAGATAGTTTGTCTGCATGATCGTTTACGAAAAGTTAAATATTTGATATATCCTCTCACTCATTGATATATATGTTGAACGTTTTCACTCAGTACGGTGTATGTGTGAAGTAGAAAGAATAAACCACCTGCTGCCCCCACCCTCACCACACCCACCCCCACACCCACCCCCATACCCACCCCCACCCTTCCTACTATTGATGAGCAACACAGAAAAAGCTGATTTAAGAATCCTGGCGGAAGCTGGCCGAAGGGCGCCGGCCCAAAATTAACCAGCGTGCCAAACACCGAGAACTCCTTTCAACTGCAGTTAGGGGAATCCCCTCAGTGGCGGAATTTTTCGTTTTGGGTGACAATTTCGTTTTTTAACCGTTTATGCTATTTCCCTTTTTCAAATTTCTAGGTCAAACATTTGAGGTTAAACATGCCCAAAGGTATTAAACTCTGCCATGTTGAGTGAAACTGCCCTTTAAGGCAAACACTTACAAGATCCGTCGAGATAAAGATCAATGAAGTCGTCCCAGGTGCCCGTGTAGCTTCGTTTCCCAAAAGGGTTGTCCTTCCAGACCTGCTGGCTGAGCTGATTGTAGGACGACACCAAGCAATCCTTAGCATTCCTCCTGACGTACACCACCTTACATCTTTTGTCCCATACTGCGTCTGGTAGTTGGCTGTTTGTATAGGTACATGAATGTTATCCATTTTGAACAGAACAAAGTAATGCAACTATTGGGAACCTACCGGCAGATAAAACAGGATACACTGTAGGAATTACCACACATTCTTTCCCTTTTTTTTAACGATTCGTGAACTGTGCTCTTTCTTCTGACATAAACAATCGCTGATCAATATTTAACTTTTAAATAGTATCTCCTACCTTGGTCGTAGATGGGTGTGGAGTATTCTTGGGGATGCCAGTTCCGCCAATTCTTCCTCAGTCCTGTATTCCAACCAGGCAGAGTTCTGCCAGTGTTTGGCGTACTCAGCCTTTCCTGCCACTATCATGTTGAGGATCTCCCACGTCCAGTGAGTGCCTTGAGTGTTGGTATTGATGGAGATGGAAACAGGAAATTCATTATTACACAATGAGTTTTTGTGCTTATGGCTGTTCTGACTATCTTAGTTTCAATTTCACATTTAGTGACTGTTTCTACAAAGATTTCAAAGGACGTCATACGACTTTAACTCAGAAGTGAGATACAACTTTCAAGGCCACAGCAAAGCTTTCAAAAAGTTGTATGGAAGACATGTGGATGACATTTTCAAATTTGCATAGTCAGTGACAAGAATGATGCAGTTTCCTATTTTGATTTGTACCATGTCTTCCCTTGTTTTTCGAGGTGAACAATTGACTTTCTTTTGCATGTGTTTGTGACGACTGCCATCAGTTGGGAAGGATAAGCTCATCTTTCCTCGAACACATGGTGACATCAATACTTGATAGTGATTCACAAACACAGGCTCATAATTATAGTAGGAATCGTACAATTGAATCTGCTTTTCGCAGATATTTCTTACGAATATGGAAAGGGTTTTGTCGCTTTTATTTACTGACATAGTTTTGCATTAATTTGAATCAACTCATAAATTGAAAAGTCATATATAAGAAACAGAACATTTTATTTTTCTCAGTGAGTTTGGTTTCTGGTTGAAGGTTAAGGATATCATTCTTCTTCATTTCCATCAAAATATTACCTGACTTTGGGTATGTGCAGAGTAAAATGTCACAATATTCTTGTAATGTCTCTGAAAGGGGGTGCCGCACATCGGTGCGACGAGCGAAAGCTTGAACAACTAGACCACCCCAGTGTATATGTTAAGTCAAAATATTGGCTTGTGAGATGATAAAAAATTAATCCACTAGTCATTTTCCAGATGACGTTGGGTATTCTGACTATTCACTTCCCTTTTGGAGGCATATCGCTTGTGTAACTCCGTTCTAGTGGTTGAGCACAAAATGGGGTAAGTGTCAATTACTCGACCACTTTCAACAGGATATTGACCCGTGAAGATTCTGGGGTGGAATAGGTCTTCAGCAACCCATGCTTGCCGTAATAGGTGACTATGCTTGTCGTAAAGGCAAACAACGGTATCGGGTGGTCAGGCTCGCTGACTTGGTTGATGCATGTCATCGATCCCAATTGCGTGGATCGATGCTCATGATATCAATCACTGGATTGTCTTGTCCAGACTCGATTATTTACAGACCGCCGCCATATAAGTGGAATATTGCTGAGTGCGGCGTTAAATAACAAACAAACAAACCAACCAACCAACAGGATATTACCTGACTTTGGGTATGTGCAGAGTAGGATGTCATCTTCACGGATAGGAACATACTTTACTGTCTTCAACTTGTCCACTAGAATAGCAGGCTGCACAAATCCATCAAGCATCACCAGGTCAACATTGACCCCTGCCGCCATTGCTTTCTCCGCTGCCGTCGACATCTTAACTAACGTACTAAAGTAACAGAAATACTATTCTAACATGATCCGGTATTCATTCACACAAAGGAAAAACAACATAATAATACCAACATTGAAGATTGAAGTGATGTTGTACATTATCATTCCATTAGATGTGTACTACTTGTGTATCACTGTCAGGCTCATCAAAAACCCTAGATGAGTACTACATATTGCTTGGCTAGTCAATAACCCTAGATGAGTACTACATATTGCTTGGCTAGTCAATAACCCTAGATGAGTACTACATATTGCTTGGCTAGTCAATAACATTAGACGTGTACTACCTATTGCTTGGCTAGTCAATAACACGAGACGTGCACTACATATTGCATACCATTGTGCATTACTGTGAGGCTGGTCAATAACACTAGATGTGTACTATATATTGCTTGGCTAGTCAATAACACGAGACGTGCACTACACATTGCATACCACTGGGCATTACTGTGAGGCTGGTCAACAACACTAGATGTGTACTACATATTGCTTGGCTAGTCATTTACACAAGACGTGTACTACATATTGCATACCACTGTGCATTACTGTGAGGCTAGTCAATAACACCAGACGTGTACTACATATTGCATACCACTGTGCATTCTTGTGAGGCTAGTCAATAACACTAGACGTGCACTACATATTGCATACTACTGTGCATTACTGCATGGCTAGTCAATAACACCAGACGTGTACCACATATTGCATACCACTGTGCATTACTGTGAGGCTAGTCAAAAACACTAGATGTGTACTACATATTGCATACCACTGTGCATACTGTGAGGCTAGTCAATATTACCAGACGTGTACTACATATTGCATACCACTGTGCATTACTGTTAGGCTAGTCAACAACACTAGATGTGTACTACATATTACATACCAGTGTGCATTACTGTGAGGCTAATCAATATTATCAGACGTGTACAACATATTGCATACCACTGTGCATTAATGCTTGGCTACTCAGTAACACCAGACGTGTACTACATATTGCATACCACTGTGCATTACTGCTTTTCTAGTCAAAAACACTAGACGTGTACTACATTTTGCATACCACTGTGCATTAATGCTTGGCTAGTCAATAACCCTGGATGAGTACTACATATTGCTTGGCTAGATAATAACACTAGACGTGCACTACATATTACATACCAGTGTGCATTACTGCATGGCTAGTCAATAACACCAGACGTGTACTACATATTGCATACCACAGTGCATTACTGCTTGACTAGTCAAAAACACTAGACGTGTACTACATATTGCACACTACTGAGCATTACTGTGAGGCTAGTCAAGAACACTGGACGTGTACTACATATTGCATACCACTGTGCATTACTGCTTGGCTAGTCAATAACACCAGACGTGTACTACATATTGCATACCACTGTGCATTACTGCTTGGCTAGTCAATAACACCAGACGTGTACTACATATTGCATACCATGTTGCATTACTGTGAGGCTAGTCAACAACACTAGATGTGTACTGCATATTGCATACCACTGTGCATTACGTGTAGGAGAATGTCCGAAATCTCGCGATTATTTTCGCACGTGAAGCTTGTTCGAGGCCGTTAGGCCGAGAAGAAGTTTCACGTGCGAAAATAATCGCGAGATTTCGGACTTTCTCCTATTTAAAACAAAGTTCGATCAAGTTATATCCTAAACTAATCTTCAAGGGATATTCACTATACTATGGGAGGGTGACCGCTCTTGTTTAACTATGGGAGGGGAACCTTTCAAGGAAGACTATGGGACAATTTATAATTAGTACCCATACTCAAACTATTGTTGCGTCTATCCAACTCTCATTAAAGTTCATGTAACTTTGTTTTAATGTGAGGCTAGTCAATATTACCAGACGTGTACTACATATTGCATACCATTGTGCATTACTGTGAGGCTGGTCAACAACACTAGACGCGTACTACATATTGCATACCACTGTGCATTACTGTGAGGCTGGTCAAAAACACTAGACGTGTACTACATATTGCATACCACTGTGCATTACCGTGAGGCTGGTCAACAACACTAGATGTATACTACATAGTGCATACCACTTTTTATTATTGTGAGGACCGCCTCCGTGGTCCAGTGGTAGAGCGTCCGCCCGGACAGCGGAAGGTCCGGGGTTTGATCCCCGGCCGCGTCATACCAAAAGACGTTAATAGATGGTACTTGGTGTTACCCTGTCTGGCGCTCGGCATTAAGGGGCTAAAACAAGGACTGGTCGGCTCGGAGTCAGTATACTGTTTCTGAGTGGGTGTTCATGTTAAACTGCGGCATGGTATCTCAGTGAGCTAGCACTATAAATCGGCATAGTCCGGACTAGTACAAGCAGCCACACAAACACATACACGTACATGCACGTCGCTATATAAGTGCAATAATCTTGCACGCGACGTTAAACCCAATTTCACCTCGGCTGTTACTGTGAGGCTGGTCAACGACGCAAGACGTGTACTACATATTATATATCACTGTGTTGGTCTGTGGCTCGTAAATAAATCCCGAAGTGTAGTTTGTTTTTTTACTTTATTCCGCCTCTGTTCGTCATTAAATCCCGATGTGTTCCACATAACTATAAGTGAATAGTAATACGTGTAGGTGTGTACTACAATTACCTAGATCTGTACCATACATTATATTATTGATTTCCAATCCAATACAGTGCGTCTCTGTTACATCTACCCTGAGACTAGATGTGTACCGTTGCTTGGTACGTCAATAATACTCGAGAGCACTACTCAAATAACACTGCTTTGCGTCACTAATACACCATACCCCAAGTAATCAACATCACATCGTACTTACATATCGAGGTGCTAGATCAACGATATTTCAATGTTGTAAGACGTCGCCTGTGTCAGTGAACTATCTCAAAATAGACTGTTGTCGCAATACCTCACCCGTTTGACAAGATCAGATCTTTTAGCGGCAGTTATATAGGTCACGGGTCTATGTAAATATGAATAGGCAAACATACGTTCATGCGTCTTTTCGACATTTTCATAGTTATACAATCTGAACTCTTACTCATTACTCGCTTGCTACAATGGGAGGGTTATGGGGCTTATAATCGTGCTCTAGGGCGAAATCAGCCTACGTTCAAAGAATGCTGAAATGACCACGACACTGCCCATTCCGTGTTAGGCTTGGCTGACACAGGGACACAGATAAGTCCAGACTGAGATGAAGTGTGTGATCGAACAGATTTAATACATGATCCTGTAATAGCGCGATCGGGATGTTGGCTGTTTATGTTTCTAGTATTATTATGACGAGTCAATTTACCATACGATCCTACCATGACCAGCTCGTGGTCGGCCATTTGTAGAAAGCCCTTTCTCCTCTCCATTATGCAATGCTCCATACAGTCAGCCATATATATTAATACAACATAACCCCAATATTTACAATGGCCAGGTGTCGATACATGCAGTTTATTAACATACATGTTTAATACACCAACTCCTTCCTTCCACATATATACACAGTACATCATTAAGTGCGGAACTGCTGTCCGACACGTAAACCAGAGATCAAAAATAACATTTAAGAGCAATTTGCTCTGGACCGTGTTCTCCAAACGAAGCCAACCGTCCCTTTTCGGGAGAGTTTACAGAATCACTTTTTTATCATGTACATAAACCTTATGAGGTATACCGTATTATGACTTGAAATTTAAGCGGTCTAATATTATTACTGACTTCAGCCAAATCCGTAAATGCATATCGATTCATTACACTCGTATAATACAGGCTACCCAGCCTCCTAAATCACGAAATAAACATTTAGGTCATTATACATGCACGTAATATAAAGGCTCGTCAGCCAAATCCATAACGGAATATATAGTTACATCATGTATTACATGTGCATAATTGTATGATGACGGCTCTACAGCCTAGCTTCTAAAAATATATTCATCAAAATGAGTCAATATTCCGGATAAGGAGAGGTAATTGTCCAAACTGGTAAGTCGACATCATTTTGAGATGTCCTACTAATGACAAGCCATGAACCGTGTCTGTATATGTCTGTTTTTGATTGTTCAATAAATGACATTATATGACTCTCATAAAAGACAATGTCAAATCGTCTAATGTGTACAAGCTCTGCAGACCGCAGGAATCCCGAATATGCTACAAGGCACATAATCCGTAAATTACAAAGTGTAGGATTGAGCATTGTTACATCATATAATTGCTCTAATACTTCTACGGTAATCGGCTCCTTCAAATTAACACATTGGCCAATCTTCTTTTTGCCGCTTCTCAAACATGTTTGACTAAATAATTTTCAGTCGGGCTTTGCACTCTTACTATAACATGAGCACTGCGGTGGTGGTGGTGGTGAATGCTTATTCCGTCTATGTCTCAGCATAGCATTTTTCCTAGAAAATTGTTTTTCATGATGTGGACTCCATGACGATTGAATTACTACTGACTATGAGATAAGAAGATGAGCCTTATATACTCTCCAGATCAGCCTCTGGGATCCAACTGTTAAACTTTTTGGGATAGCCCATCCGTCTCACAAACACCTCTTTTACACCAGCTCGCTTCCTTTTCTTCAAAACCTTCTCCACTCTCCACACTGTGTCTGCAGGCTTGTCTACTCTCTGTAGTTCATTTGCATAGAAACTACCTTGAACTGGATTATCAGCCATATCTTTTAACAGATAGACAGGCATGCCATCACGATAGAACCTTCTTCTGATGATAAAGATTTCCTCAGTCCATTTTTCGTGATAGTCTCTTTGAAATGTATGTCTCAAATGAGACAGTCTCACTTGATCGCCCACTTTAAACTTAAAGGGTTTTTTCATTGACTTCTGTTTGATTTCAGCTTGCTGTGCGACTGGTTTTATCAAAGTGTCAATGTATTGTTCCTTCCATACTAGAGCTTCATTGGTTAGATTGATATCATTTGGTGATCGTTCATTTAGTGATCTGTGAGGTCTGTGGTTATAATCACGGACAACATCTTGTAAAATGTACAGGTAATGATACGTTTGTTTGTATGTAAAATATATGTACATCGTTGTCCTGAGGGTCCACAGCACTCTCTCCGCATAGGAAGCCTTGGTTTCATTCTGTGTGACATAGTAAGTGATGCCATTGTTTTTTTTAAATAAGACCTCATTTTCTTATTATCAAATTCACGACCTTTGTCAGATCGTATAATTCGTGGTAAACTGGCACGGGAAAATATATTTTTCATGGCCTTGATAACCGCATCTGGTGTTTTATTTTTAAGGGCCTCGACCCAAAGAAACCTTTTAAAAACATTTATAGCTATGAATAAGTACTTCACACAGGCGATGTTAGATAGATCAGCCAAGTCAATATCCCATCGAGCATTGACGCCTGAAGCCACCACTCTGTTCCGCTTGAACTTGTTTCTTAAAGGTCGCTGAAGCGAATAGTCGTCCTGAGAATTTAGCCAGTTTATGTGATGTAAACTAATATCAAATTTCCCCACTTTTTTGACAATGTGATACAGCTTATTGGGCCCAGAAAAGGAAGCTGGGTGTTTGGGATTAAAATATATACCAGATAAATAAACTTTCCAACCATCAGCCGGCATGGTTACACGTGAAATGAAGCATAAACGATGAAAATAGAGCTTATATGTTTATCCACTACATAGTCATTCATAACTATGGAGAAGGAGCTTGGTTACATTCAATGACCAAACACGCTCGTATATGTGTATGTGAACTCGTGGATACAGATGACTGCCTTCCTCAACGGTTAGTTTACACAACTGTTTGCCTTCAGTGGACAAGGCTGCTATGTGACCTAGTTCGTCACCGTGTTCACAGCAACGAAAGGAATCTATTATACCAATACATATTCTATAAACATAAAAGTACTAACTACTTTGCACCCTTTCTTTTTCAAGAATTCCATACATACTGTTGTATAGTTGTAATTATACTGATGTTTGAATGTATGGCCGTTGGGCTATATTTAGCGCGGGAATTCACGGTTATTGCACCATCACTTGTAAAGTCCTGTGCCCTATTGGTCATGTCTATCTCTAGCGTGACGTCATTCGTTCATTAACCAATCAGATTGCCATGCCTCGGGTCAATGAGTGCAAAGTGATGGTGAAACGGCTTTTCCTTATTATCAAATAATTTTGATCGTCAGTTGTTCACAGATGGGTAAACATTCTCTGGCAAATTGACAGTCTCCGCAGGTTTGATTCAAACCATTCAAACACCACTCTGGTTAGATGCAAACGCAGTTACATTATGTTAATCAATGCAGCAGTTCACATTATGTACCCAGTTATATTTTCTAGGTTTCACTCATGTCACTAACAACTGAAAATAGGCTCAAACCGGGTAGCATAGCTCCTCTTTAAAACAGCTCCCTAGTTTTACTGGCTCTTATCTCGGTTCGTATTGAGCTGTTCACCATCATGCTGTTCCCATCACATTTGCTACATTGCATAACACTTTCTCTTTGAAGTTTGTCAAAATAATTGAATCCACGGAGGAAAGAGGAAACTGGGTTTAACACTCGTGGTGTCGAGTTAAGTTTCGACAAGTTCTGAAAGTTTAACGTTGTATGATGACTTTCGTCACACTGCGCAGGATGAACCAATGCAGGTCATATGATGTAATCTTCAATGACATAATGATATGCAAATTACGTGTACATGGTTATCTAAAAGAAGGAAAATACCGTTTTCAATTCCCTATTCTATGTATACAACCAATAGGATCTTTCAAAGAAGTAGAAAGAAGTCAATATATGGAATTACTTCCCACATCATTTTTATATTGATGCGTCAAAGTTTTAGTTGTCCTCAACATGTCTACAATAAAACGTTTTGAAAGCCTTGAGTGTTGTAGTCTTGACCCAACAACCTTTGCGCAAGAGTCGTATTACGCTCTTTGATATCTTGGTGGAAAGAGCATGCTTCGAAGAAAGAGAAAACGTTCGTCTGTATCTGCACAACCCTTGTGTAGTGTTTTCCTGATCTGCTGTCAGTTGCCTGCAGATAGTGACGACTTTCATCTGTGTCGTGAATTCGTTTCCAGATCGCAAGTTATAACGATTCAGTGCGATGCACCACGCTCATCTTGCCCTTTGATATTGTAGGTTTGCACGTGCGAAGGAGCAGCCCTTAAGCAAGTCCACAGTGTTCTTGTGGACAACCTCGGATTTCCAATCTAGGCTACATTATGTCTTTCTCGGTCTTTTATGACAGGGAAGATCACTCACATCCTTTTTTGAGATTATATTTATTCTGTCATCCGCATATTACATAAATATTTCTGGAAAGTGTCACACACACGCAACAAATGAAACAATTCTGTTTAATCTGCATGTTAACAATGTATTTTTTCAGAATCATGAAAGGTCATTGCAATTATAATGAAATAAGGTTCGTTTGTACATTATACATGCAATATTCATAGTCCCTATCAGATTTAAAGTGACAAGACCCTTTCCACATCCAGTCGATTGTGCAATTAAACTCAAATGGAGAAGGATCAGTCATGTTTCTACCATTATTAATATGGAAATGTTTCCTTCAGCCTTTCTTCATATACTTTATCAAATCGCTCGCTCTGGGCCACAGTGAACCAGTTCTTCCAGTCACCAGTTGTACCTGCAACATCATAGTTATCAGTTTATTGAGCATATTTAATACTCCAACGTGTATATTTTTACATACCATGTAGAGTAAAGCAGTGCTTCCTCACTTACATGAGCGCTGTCTTTAAACATGTTGATTTATGAGACAAATGTACACATTGATACCACACTATAGACAACTATGTTTCAGGTTTTAGTGTAGGTTGTCCAATTACCTTTTCTGAAATATCCACTTGAACCATCTTGCCAGTGAAAGTGGTAGGTTTGATCTTTGATCTTCTCGTTAGCGTGCTTCAGTTTCTTGAAAGAGCAAGCCTCGGATATTGCATGGTATGTTGTATCCGATAGAGGACGTCCTAGATAATCTGCCATTCTTCTTATTTCCTGGACGCAATCCTGAAAAGGGTACAATTTAATGAAAATGTTCACTGACAGATACTACAAAAAGGGATTCATGACATGAGATTATTATGGTACCTATGTATACCATAGCTTAATTTGGTTTACTGTTATTTTTGTAAGTATAGATTTTCTTGGGAGCAACATGATTTGATACTCTGTTATATCTAAATATATCAAATCTTGAAATTTGTTTTTAAGCACTGGAGGCACATTCTGTGCATCCACGTAGCAAAAACATTAGTAGCTTCACAAACTGTTTAAACACACTGACAACGATCGAGTTACATCATTTGGCCCAATAGTGCATCCGAAGCCCCACCCCCAGGCATGGACTGGTCACAGAAGAGAGCTAGTGGGCGTGGCCTATTCTTATTGGTTTATGAATCTATAAACGCACAACAATTGCTTTGTTAGACAATCCCATGCCATGGAATCACTTGCAATCTATTTATTCTAATAAAAGCATGTACGCTTTATAATTATCTATTGAACAGAACAGAGTATCAGCTGTTGAGAATGTTTTACCCTTATTATATACGTATAGATAGACGTACACGTAAGACATGGAATGGAATACACCATAAAATTTCCCAATCCGCATTAATTGAGCAATACCTTTTTCATGTCTTCATACTGCAGTCCGCATATTTCAAAACCTTTGTGAGCTTCAGAAATGTTGATCCACTCGATTGTGTGTTCGAAATAGGGTACACCAATCACTTGAAAACAAATGGAAATAATCTTGAAGTAGTGGATGCTGAAATTATATTCATGCTAGGGATAATTGTGCTTTTGATAATAATGTGGTAATCAGCCCAGTGTAAAGTCTGGTCGTTTAAGTTTTTATGAAATTTCTATTAAAAAAAAGGACTTTTTCTAAACTGTCACATCTGAGTTAGACATCAGTTTGTGTGCAACAATCCCGTCTCCTTCATTTGTTTCTTAATGTAAATCAAAACATTGGAGTTTGTCCAGGGACACCTTTTCTGGAACACCTCTTTATCATCTATTTGATAGTGATTCTTAAACACATGCTTTCATACCTTGGACCCTGCTTTTATCACATGTATTTCTTTTGACGATGGAAAGGGCTTTTATTTGTATTATTTAACGTAAACACCTACAGCATCCGTCCAGAAAAAGATCAATGAAGGCCTCCCAGATGCCGGTGTAGGATCGTTTCCCTAAAGGGTTGTCCTTCCAGATCTGCTTGCTGTACTGACTATAGGCCGACACCAAGCAATCCTTTGCATTCCTCCTGACGTACACCACCTTACATCTTTTGTCCCATACTGCATCTGGTAGTTGGCTGTATCCATTGTGAATAGAACTTTGAAATGCTACTTTTTTAAACCGACATACACAACAAGACAGAAATTAACATAAATTATTTGACTGTACTCTAACCATTTATTTTTTTTCCTTTTTAAATCGTCGTGTATTTAGCTTTATATTTGATATTGCCTACCTAGGAAGTAAATGGGTGTGAAGGATCCTTGGTGATGCCAGTTCCTCCAGTTCTTCCTCGGTCCTATATTCCAGCCATGCAGAATTCTGCCAGTGTTTGGCGTACTCAGCCTTGCCTGCCACGATCATGTTGAGGATCTCCCACGTCCAGTGTGTACCTTGTGAACGGAATTAAGGTGAGGTGAAATTTGGCTTAACGTCGCGTCCAAGATTATTGCACTTATATTGCGACGAGCATACGCGCGCCTGCGTGCGTGTAGTTGTGTGTACTAGTTATGCCGATTTTATAATGCTATCCCACTGAGATACCATGCTGTATTTTACCATAAATGCCCCACTCAGACACAGTACACAGACTCAGAACCACTCCTCTATTCCCTTACCGGGCGCCAGGCAGGGCAACAATAAGTAACATATTTTAACGTATTTTGGTTTGAGGCGGCCGGGGATCGAAACCCGGACATTCTCCTCCCCGGGCAGACGCTCTACCACTAGACCACTGATGCGGTCGAATTCAAATTCATTGTTGCAATTACTCATCAAAATGTGCATCTATAATTTAATGCGCATGTAAAACATGTTTTAATGTTGATTGATAAGCTTAGTGTTACTCATAGTTATTTTCGAAAATGAAAGATGTCTTGTAAGCAGACGTTTACACAGATACCCTATCTGTTGATGGTTATGCTTATTATTGAATCTTACATTTAAATTTTACATCAGCTTTTTTTGTAATGAATTGTCATGTCTTGATGACAAGGCGATACATATACTGTTTTTTGTTCATTAAAAGCATTCGATCATAGATTACATGCACATTATTGTCATTCCAAGAGAACGAGCATTATTTTATGATTTTAAACATGTGATATGATTGAAAACCTCAGGCGTTGATATGTATTCTTAAATGACGCAATATTCTTGTGAATCATCTTGGTTCAAATAGTTTAATGGGCAAATAGAACATGTAGGGACTCTTGCAAGATTACTTTCTCATATGCACATCACAATGATGTCATATATTTGTTTTAGACATTTGCAATGTGTCATGCGCGTTGATATTTCTAGATTCTTACCTTCCAAAATATATTGACACATCTTTTAAGTAATCGACCTTACTTCCTGTCAAAAGTCAGAAGAACTGAAGCAGGCGTAATGAGTGTGTGCGTCATTCATAACCACACTAAAAAAAGCTGCCCATACTCCATCTCTCAGTAAACTAAATGCTCCCCTATTTCAGCATATTTATTGCAAGTTGTGAATTGTCTGATTATGAATGCTTTACTGACGGGTGTGTGAATGTTTGTGTGAATTGGGTTTAAACAACGCCGACGTAGGTGTTAAGTTAAAATATTGGCTCGTGAGATGAATAGTTTTTACGCCATCACTCATTTTCCAAATGACATCAGGTATTCCCACTGTTCACTTACCCTTTGGAGGCATAAACCTGTGTAATTCTGTTCTGGTGGTCGAGCACACACATTGGATAAAGTTCAATGACATTATTCGTGATCATTTCCAACAGGATATTACCTGACTTTGGGTATGTGCAGAGTAAGATGTCGTCGTCACGGATGGGGACATACTTTACTGTCTTCAACTTGTCTACAAGAAAAGCAGCCTGCACACATCCATCAAGCATCACAAGGTCAACATTGACCTCTGCCGCCATTGCTTTCTCCGCTGGCGTCGACATCTTGACTAACATATTAAAGTGAGTGAGTGACCGCTTTGACTATATTATAGTAACGGAATACAATTTTAGTATGATCTGATATTAATTCTCATATAGTTTTGTCACAAAGTAATAAACACATGGCACAGTAAACACAAAAAGCCTTGTTATTATATGCATTTACAATCCTCAACGGTAACAGTCAGTGTTTATGTCTGCGTATTACAAACAATATGTCAGTGGGCGCATTGTTTTACACCCTCAAATTAAGTCGTTGTTGGAAACGTTAAATCGTTGTTATGGCCCAGAGCAGTATTCGTAGTTTTACTCTCTAACTTACAACGTCACTCTCAGTCAATAGCATTAGACGGGTACTATCAATTGGTATGTGGATAATACTATATGATAATACATAATGACTAATACTGTATTGTTTGACAGGCATTACTTAGAAGTTGACGGATGAGTTTGAGTGGATATATATTTTGTACTATGTTCATTATTCAGGCTTGCTGGACAACGGTATAATGATCTTCATCGGAACGTCGTTTTACAGTGAATAAAGAAGTTGTTTTAGATGAATTGTGTCTACTTTGTTTCTTTAACTAATACTGTGCTGCGTACTACGTATCGCTGTGCACACGTACTATGCTTGTCAATAACACTGGAGACCCGTATAGATCCGGGGTAGAAAAGGTCTTCAGCAACCCATGCTTGCCGTAGAAGGCGACTATGCTTGTCGTAAGAGGCCACTAATTAATGGGATCGGGTGGTCTGGCTCGCTGACTTGGTTGATGCATGTAATCGATTCCAATTGCGTGGATCGATGTGCATGACGTCAATCACTGGATTGTCTGGTCCAGACTCGATTACTTACAGACCGCCGTCATATGACTGGAATATTGCTGAGTGCGGCGTTAAAAGGCAAACAAACAATAGCAATAAATATTACTAGGCAATCAGATAACGACTAGGCCAGTCAAAGCACCCGATGTCAACTACTTTCTTGTGTACTATTTACCGTGCACTTATGCGCGTCACTGCTAGGCTAGTCAGTGACACCAGTTCTGCACTACTTTCTCAGTACGTCAATAACACTATATCTGCACTGTTTCCTGTATGCTACTACGCATCAATACCAGGCCAGTTAATAACTCCGTATGTGTACCATCCAGTGTCTATTGCTTCGAATAACTGCTAGACTAGTGCGTTATATATCAGTTGTGTACTACAACCGGGTAGGTCAATAACACTATAGCTACATTGTGTTATTTGATGGCCGAAACTATTTAACCACTGCCAGGGTAGCCAACTATATGTTGACTACAACCAGGCACGTCAGTGCCACATACGTAATACTACATAATATATTGTACATATCACATTACATTACTCCATCACTTACATCAATACTGTGTGTCAATTATAGACTATCTCACAAGTAATCAAAATCGTAGTGTACTTTTGTTGAAAAAACTAAAGAAGCAATTAAAAATACAATAGAACAATATAAAACAGGTGTCGACGAACAAGGCAATGACAGATTTAACATAGACGACCAACTTTTTTTCCGAAACACTAATGTTGATGATAAGAGGTCAAACTATAAAATACTCCTCGGAAAGGAAACGAAATCGATAACAGAAAGAAAACGACTAACAAAAATATATCGAAGCATTGGAAATCAATCTAGACACCTCAAAGGATATATATACAATCAACGCTCAAAAGATATCTTGGATTAAACGCTTGTTCAATTCACATCCACACTCCAAACTTACCACTCTTTTGATTAATAATATAACTCCAACACAAATTGATTTTCTGCAAAAATGCAAATTCTATATTTCGGAAAAGGTTATTAATGATAGGACCAATGCGTTCTGGAAAGATGTTCTGTGTGCATGGGGAAACTTAATAGAAAAAAAACGGAAATTCTATCCAAGAGGAAAAAGATATATTATCACAACCTTTATGGCAAAGTACGAATATAAGAATCGGGAACACTCCGGTATACTATAAACATTACTCGGGAAAAGGCATTAATCTTGTAAATGATTTGATAGACGAGAACGGAAATTTTCTAGATCTCTTAGACCTAAAACATGTATACGACTGTAAAACACATTTTCTGGAATACTCTAGTCTTATCCAAGCAATAAAACAATATTTAAAGCGTAAGAGTATAGCCCTAACATCTAAGTTCCATCTGCCCTTAATACCATATTTCCTTGAAAACTTAGTGGAGAGGGGGGATGTGGGGTGTTTTATGATATCTTAAATAAAGTATCCAACAACATGATATCCCAAAAATACATTCAAAGATTGGAACTAGATCTTTGCCTTAACATGACGGAAAAAGATTGGCAAACGATTAATCGTAGCCCCCACAGACATAATGTGTCCTCACAACAAAAATGGTTCCAATACAGTATTATTCATAGAATTATACCAACAAACGAGGTACTGTACAAAATGGGATATAAAGAATCATTTCTTTGCAATTTTTGTAAACGAGAAAAACAAACCTTAGTGCACATGTTCTCTGAGTGCAAAATTGTAAAACATATCTGGAACAACCTTACAAAATGGATCAAAGACAAAACTGGAATAGATCTAGAATTTCCAAAATTGACAATTGTATTAGGATATCAACAAAAACGAAATGATGTACAGTGTATTAAATCATATTCTAACTGTAACAAAGCAAAACATATTCAAATCAAACTTTTCCGACTCCATACCAAATTTCCCACACATCAAACAAGAATTAACCGATTCATATTACATCGACAGAAATATATCATATTCACAATGTAAATACACACAGTTCGGTCTCTCTGTCACCACCTATTCGTTTAAAACCACGAACTTGCACAATCCAACAATATGACACTGGAATAGTTTTTGTTTGTCATCATCTATAAATATACTTTGTAACTTGTATGTATTTAAGATTGCATGTGAACTATTTTCTGTACACATATTGTTTGTGTACTCCAAAAAGAAATAAAATAATATAAAAAAGAAAAAAGAAAAAAAATTGCAGTGTACTTACATTCTAGGATCAACGATCGTTCAATGCGGGTGAAGGTGTTTCCAGGTGTTAGTTCACATACACTGCTGTCGCAATACACCGCCCTTTTGACACGACCACATTAGCGGCAGTGATGTGGGTCATGGGGCTACGTGAATATGACTACAGTTGTGTAAAGCGCCGCCGTGTCTCGATCGCAAGCTCTTCACATCTTGAGGAATGCCAGTGTGTTCACTTAACAGTCCACAGCCTGAACTAAAGTGTTTTTTCGTTTGTTACATTTGGCGATGAGGGTCATAACGTTGTAATAGTAAAGGCATCATCCTACTCTCACTGTTTGCTGACATAATCATGACACTGCACATTTGTGCTAGGTTTGGCCGACACAGGGAAGTTATTTTTAGTACAGGTTAATACCGTAAGAGTTTGCGAGCCGCAGCTTGGTATATTGCACATGAAAAAAATGGTGTCACGTCAAAAAGGTGACGTATATGTCCGCTGACTGTTGCGCCATTTGACGGCTTCTCCTAACACAGGCGGCCAGATTTTCCACCTTGTACTAATGGAGCTTCTCTGTTATCCCTGATCCACGCTTCCGAGGAAATTCAGACTGACAGACCAAGGGATTCTGTTGAAGGTTATAAAGAATATATGGATTGCAACCTAAATACATTTAAATGTGACATTGTTGATGAATCAGAACAAAGAACGCTTTCTGCCTTATCAACAGCTCGCAAATATTCTGAGAAACCGCTCTTTAGATCTAAAGGACATCATTTGTACTTTAAATTATATTGCACTCTTTCGGACAAAGTAGATTCATCCTTCAGCTATCTCAAACATAAGTAACCTGAATGTTCAAGCATGAAACAAGCATATCAGATTGATCTACAGATTCCTATCTGGTTGGGCTGTAGTCGCGAAAATGGAGGGATGCGGTATTGCTTCTGGAACGTCTTCTCAGAAGAGGAACGTCGCTTCGAGAAGGCAGAGAGTAAGGCACTCCATAAGCGTCGTGCACAATTTTCACAATGCTCCTACTGCTACGTTCCCTCACCCTAATAATGACATGACTTATCAGGCATGTAAGGTCAGATTTGTTATCTCTTCAAGTGATAGGTCAAATATATATTCCCAATATTAGGACAAGTTTTACTTCCCATTACTATCGGTGACGTTTAAATAGAACAACGTTTTCAAGTTGTTGCCGATTTAGTGTCTACCGTGATTTTAGTCTTAGATTACCTGGTACAGCAAAACAATGTCATAACATTTCATTCTTACACTTTGACTATTCAACTGGTTCAATAGTTATTCCTGTCTGGGCAAATGGTATTTTGATACCACCTGTTGCTGTCAACAATCAGTGACCACAGAGCTCGCAAAAACATAACAATCCCTCCCCAATCAACAATAAAAAATAAGTTACTTCACTTCACCGTTCAGTTTGGATCGGGCCAAGATTTCCTACCGGGTTTAGGTCACACACTATGTTTACTATTTGTTTGTTCCTGTTAAGAACCATGCAGACAATGATCTCACCAATCGGCTAACGACGACGACAAGAAGTTGATTATGACTGCACCAGGTAAGTCATCATAGTTGAATGATCGGCAGTACAGTTAGTTACCCGCTGAGTTTAATCTCCGACCCCATAGGAGATTATTTGATAGCACAAGGCAATATGACGATTCAAGTGAATTGCCAAATTTTACCTGCAAAATATGTCGTTGTAATGATCACAGAGTATCTATGGTTTTTGTCCACGCTAACCTGCTTAAAAGGTTTGTCAACCCAAATGATAGTCTAATTAATATATTCCCTCTTGTTGCTATTGACAATCAAATTACTTCGTCTCAACTTTAAGAATCTGACGGAGACTGACATGACAACACAGGCTTCACAGAAAACAGCCCCACACGGAGGCCCAAAATCCCGCCTTTGATTCACAGGAGGCAACGATTTCATAGAAAAAAACGAATCCTGGCGCATAGTCAATGGACAGAAATACTGCAAGATTTACTATGAAAATTACACTGAATAGAAGGTTACACGGAAACCCGAATTTAATATCCTTCAAGGATTGATTCGTGACTACGTGATTCAGAAGTCATGAAAAAAACCTCTCAATTTCGACTGTGTCCTTTGTCGTGTGATCTTTGGTGTGTCGTGTGTGTGTCATGTGATCTGTGGTGTGATCAGTGTTGTGTAGTGTGTGTCGTGTGATCTGTGGTGTGTCGTGTTCTCTGTGGTGTGTCGTGTGATCTGTGGCGTGTCGTGTGTGTCGTGGCATGCATGGGATCTGTGTTTTGTCTTGTGTATCGTGTGATCTGTTTTGTGTGGTGTGTGTCGTGTGTCGTATGCGATAATTTCCATAACAATAGTGGAATAATTTTCCCAATTTTCAAGTGGTCAAAGGGACTCATATCATAGCTCGTCCTTTTTTGTTTCTTCAACGCCCTCAACGTCAGTTGAAATAGTTGGTAAATGGACAGAAGTGCAATGCCCACGAGTAGGTGTATTTTATACCTACAGTAACTCCGTGTTCCACATCCTCTTTTCAGGACGATACGTTGTACCATCGGTTACTCCAGCTCTGTCCCCAAGCCTACCCAGATGGCATCATTGAAATTACAATCTGTGACTCCTCACCCTCGCAACAGTGGAACATCACGCGGACATAGGTATTCACTCTGTCAGGTAGGGGAGCATCACATAGACATAGGGTTTCACGTTGTAGGTAGCGGAACAGCAGGTGGACATAGGTCTTCACTCTGTCAGGTAGGGGAACATCATATAGACATAGGGTTTCACACTGTATGGTAGTTGAACAGCAGGTGGACATAGGTCTTCACTCTGTCAGGTAGGGGAGCATCATATAGACATAGGGTTTCACGCTGTAGGTAGCGGAACAGCATGCGGACATAGGTCTTCAATCTGTCAGGTAGGGGAACATCATATAGACATAGGGTTTCACGCTGTAGGTAGTGGAACAGCATTCGGACATAGGTCTTCACTCTGTCAGGTAGGGGAACATCATATAGACATAGGGTTCCACGCTGTAGGTAGCGGAACAGCATGCGGACATAGGTCTTCACTCTGTCAGGTAGGGGAACATCATATAGACATAGGGTTTCACGCTGTAGGTAGTGGAACAGCATGCGGACATAGGTCTTCACTCTGTCAGGTAGGGGAACATCATATAGACATAGGGTTCCACGCTGTAGGTAGTGGAACAGCATGCGGACATAGGTCTTCACTCTGTCAGGTAGGGGAGCATCATGTAGACATAGGGTTCCACGCTGTAGGTAGTGGAACAGCATGCGGACATAGGTCTTCACTCTGTCAGGTAGGGGAGCATCATATAGACATAGGGTTTCACGCTTTAGGTATTTGAACAGCATTCGGACATAGGTCTTCACTCTGTCAGGTAGGGGAGCATCATATAGACATAGGGTTCCACGCTGTAGGTAGTGGAACAGCATGCGGACATAGGTCTTCACTCTGTCAGGTGGGGGAGCATCATATAGACATAGGGTTCCACGCTGTAGGTAGTGGAACAGCATGCGGACATAGGTCTTCACTCTGTCAGGTAGGGGAACTTCATATAGACATAGGGTTCCACGCTGTAGGTAGTGGAACAGCATGCGGACATAGGTCTTCACTCTGTCAGGTAGGGGAGCATCATATAGACATAGGGTTTCACGCTTTAGGTAGTGGAACAGCATTCGGACATAGGTTTTCACTCTGTCAGGTAGGGGAGCATCATATAGACATAGGGTTCCACGCTGTAGGTAGTGGAACAGCATGCGGACATAGGTCTTCACTCTGTCAGGTGGGGGAGCATCATATAGACATAGGGTTTCACGCTTTAGGTAGTGGAACAGCATTCGGACATAGGTCTTCACTCTGTCAGGTAGGGGAACATCATATAGACATAGGGTTTCACATTGTATGGTATTGGAACAGCATGCGGACATAGGTCTTCACTCTGTCAGGTAGAGGAGCATCATATAGACATAGAGTTTCACACTGTATGGTATAGGAACAGCATGCGGACATAGGTCTTCACTCTGTCAGGTAGTGGAACATCATATAGACATGGAGTTTCACACTGTATGGTATTTGAACAGCATTCGGACATAGGCCTTCACTCTGTCAGGTAGGGGAGCATCATATAGACATAGAGTTTCACACTGTATGGTATAGGAACAGCATGCGGACATAGGTCTTCACTCTGTCAGGTAGTGAAACAGCAGGTGGACATAGGGTTCACATTGCCTGGTAGTGGAACAGAATCCGGACACATGTCTTCACACTGTCTGGTAGTAGAACATCATATAGACATAAGGTTTCACACTGTATGGTAGTCTGTACTTTTCTGTATTTTCATTTTAGTTTTTGACATTTTCGCTTTTGTTTTTGACCTTTTCGTTTTTGTTTTGGACATTTCCATTTTAGTTCTTGACATTTTCGCTTCACATTTCAGCGATTCAATAGCTACTTGAAGGTACATTTTCCATGTTTTCGGTTGTTTTATACATGATTTATCACATATATGTATGACAAATTGTGTTAATTTGCAAAAGGTTACGATAAAAGTAAGTGAAATGTCAAAATTTTGAAAAACAGACTCCATGTCCCTTATGGGCCACCGTATGAAGGCGTCTTTGTTGAAGTGGTCACTTCCCCTGCGATTACCCGAAGCGATTCCTGGTGATAATGTACATGTAGGTCCCTGCAACCTCTACTTGACGTAATGGGCGACGAAATGGATCGTGTAGCCAGACTCTCTGTCTTGTTTGATTGACATCATCGTCTCTTATTAAGCAGCAAATAATCAATGAATCAAAGAATCAATTTTAATGCATTTAATAGTCCATCTGCCATTTCTCACAATATTCTGATAAATAGGAACGGCCAATTACTGTTCAGACAAAAAGCTGCAATCGTTGTAACATCAACATTGTGCAGATAGCAACATGTTTACATGGTTAACTGATTGCATTAACATGAGAGAACATGTTTTATTTTATTGGTATTAATTGTTTTAAAAACATGACACGCTAAAACCTTATAGATTCCATGGCTGCCAGGAAGCAATGGCTGGGGGTTCGAATCCTAGATTCCCGACGATTATGATCACTATCTGATGTATAATCAAAATAAGGTTTTCACCCCACATTCAGCTGTTGCAACAGTTAGGGACTCACCATTAGATTGTAGGTGGGGGCTGACCTTTCTTTTTTATAATCATTTGTTCCAGAAAATATAATTAATCAAAACATATTTGTCCTTTGGTTTTATCCAATAGTTTGTGGGGAATGCTTGATGTCCCGAAAGTCAAAATAAAAGGGCCCTCCCTTTAGAGAAAAATATTGTATGTTTTGAAGTAGTGAATGTAAAATATCCTGTCTCTGCCAAGATAAATACAGAACCCACAAGAACACAGGTTCATAGTGTTGGAGAAAGCCTTGGACTCACTGAAACGTTCTTTCCCCTGGCCAAAAACAGATCTCCGTCTCGTCCTCTCATTATTGCGGCAAATCGACTGAAACCACTAACAGACATCACCAAAGTGTCGCATTCTGACAAAATATACTGGTCCAGGACAACCTTCTCCATCGCCGAACACTCAAACGTCCGGGATGGGCGATCTATGTGAGCAATCTGCCCTTTTACTTCTAGATAAGAGTCAGGAAATGCCTTTTTAAACCGAAGCCTGACCTGCTGTGAATCTGTTGCAATGAACAGCTTATCATAACCCGGATGTAGCCTCGTTTTGAAAAAACGGATCAGACTATCCGGATCAGGCCGGTGAGCCTTTCGACTGTTATCTCTGGGAATTGTCCGGCTTTTCCCCATTCGTATATGGGCACAGACCAGCGTTTGGTGATTTGAATCAATTGTTCCAATTATGTCATCAAATCTATCTTGTGTTTTATGCGAAAGTTTGAATAGTTTTTCAAATGCGTATTTATAAATATCAAGATGACTTAATCTCCGAGCCCAATAGACTTTGTGAAACAACGGATTTTTCATGAGATAAGGAACCAAATCTATATTTCCAGTGTACATAGTACCGTCGTTCTGAAACATTGCTTCCAGATCTCCTGTAGCCATAGCAACACCCATGCCATTACCATCCATATCAACAAACCATTCCTTTTTCAAATGTGCTAATGTTCTACTATCAATTGTCCAATCCACGTCCTTAGGGATGACGAACTCTGAGATGTCACACGGCTTGAACATACTAATGCCAAACAGCCGTCCTAACATCTGCGACAACACAAAGGCTGTGACAATCCCCTTCTGTCTGTCCGCCAGCCCGCCACAACGTCCTGTGTTACAGGTGTAGACGACGTACTTATCCTTGACTGTCTCCTTTTGATCTGGTCTTCCATGCATGTTCTTATCACTGATTCTGGATGATGATGTACTCATTCCGCCAGTATATCCCATGTTCACGATGCTAAACACATACATCTTCACTTGCATGGCGCATGGAACCATTATACAAAGGATCACACATCCCAGGAAGACCCACAGGAGACGTCCATTCTGAAACACAAAATAATTAATCCATTATTAGAGATTTCTGGGGCGCCTGAAGGAGCCAATGCTGCCAGGAAAATGGCGGGAAAGACTTTCATCAGACCCTGACGCTGTGCAGTTTGAGAGTATTCATCCGGATGTGACCCCACACGTGGCGTGGAGGATAGCTGGAGAATGTCCTGAGCTAAAGGCAGCTGCCTGATTTTTGTCCCATGTGTGCGATGTGGAGACCGGGGAAATTACATGGTACCTGTACACATTGTGGTATTAACTACCATGACTTACTGACTCACGTACTGTGCCACTGTGTGAGTAAGGGAACAATAAGAGAGAACTTATGGTGTGACATTATGTGTATAGGCCCCGTTGACATCAGCGTTGAACTCCACAGCAAATCAGACTATGATCTTGTAGCTTGTTTGTTGTCCTGTAAGCCACCTTTGGATACTGATCCAGATGTCAGTCGCTCCTACTCACGAAGTGTAATTCGAGGACTCAACCGCTTTCAACAGATGGACGGAAATTACTAAGAAAATCCGTTACCACAGTGGTATATGGTGGTATTCTCTGACAATGTAATTATTTTCATGTAATTATCTTTAATATCATACATTGTAACTCTCCTATGGAGGAATAAAAGTATATATATTTCTGCATAACAGTTTCGTTATTGTTGTTGAGGATGGGACAAGAAGTAGCCCTGACACGTCGTTATAAGATATATTGTGCAAAATCGTTTAATTGTTCCACATTTCACGAGAGGTGAGGTCAAATGAGGTTTAAGGTCGTCACGCTCACGATTATTGCATCTATATATAATTGTCCTTCACCAAAGATTACGATCTTGGGCAGAATCTACCGGTGTTTTGAATAATGCCTAAAATGGTTTTGTTAAAAAAGAGGTACACTGTAGACCATGTTCACACCGTATGTTCAATTATAGAAACTAGAAAAAGTATGAAAAAAATCAACGTTTACTGCTGTTATTGATTTTTTAAAATCCTATGGTTGTGTCAACAGAAATCAGCTATGGCATAAACTTCGCGATGTTGGCGTCAATGGGAACATGTTATTAGCGCTTCAGTCATTTTATCGAAACATAGTGTGCGAGTAAATGGTATGTTTACATCCTGGTTTGATGTTAATCGTGGCAAAATCCAAGATGTCCTCATGGGAAAATATCTGAAAAGCTGGCAGGAACTTTTATAGAAAGATAATGTTCATACGCATACAAGCAAAAACTATATAAAACAAGAGCTTTATGCCCCGGAGTTACCGATCTGCCTTTACCAAATTTAGATGTGTAATTTTTCCTTTTAGAATCGAAAAAGGCAGATCTATTAATTCAAAGGTTGAAGACAGAGTGTGTTTTAACTATAATGATCATATTGAAGATGAAAAACATGTTTTATTCCAATGTCCACCATAAGATGATCTAAGATCTACATTTTTTACGAGTATAACGGCTAAAATGTCCAACTTTTTAAGTCTCTGCCTAAACCCGCATTTTAATGTCACTCATTTTTAACATTTGTATCTGTATATATCATCCAGTGTTGTCTATCGTCTCTCATAACTTTATATGAGTGGCGCTGTATTATTTTTTTTATGTATAAACGTCTATTTTTTGCATGTTTTTACGATGTGCAGCGGTGAGACGAAAATATCTGTCTGTCTATATCGCGGCGTGTACATTATGCGCACACTAGCGCGCTCTATTTCTGCTTCTACTGGACCGGCCTGATGCCACCTTTTTAGTGCCACCGCCCTCTTCAAGATAAAAATGGTTTGTCTTGAAGCAGTGATCGAACTGAACTGTCGCAAACGAAACTTTATGCACAAGTTACGTTATTAATTTATTATACGCTCCAATGACGTTCAAGTATTATCTCAAAGCTTCTGACGAACATCCACTCGACACACTCAACATATTTAATGGTCGGTGTCAAAATTCATATATCCAACACAGAATAACGAATAATTTACTGGCATATTATAACGTCATTGGAGTGTTTAATGCAATTAAAAAATGCATGTAACTAAGCAGAACAACGTACCGTGTGCATACAGTTTTGTCACGGTTCAGGTTGGTACAAACTGTTTCGTAAGCACACCTGTACATGCACAGGAACCAGGTTGGATCCCTTCCACATCCAACTTTACTCACCCTAAGAGGTATGAAGATGTTAAACATCCACATGTCGGTACTGCAGATATCAAATGTCGTTGTCGGTTTTAACTATGAAGCCTGTATGTGCTGTATCAATGTCCTTGGCGAAAAATCAGCAGACTGTATGAGGTGTATCACTGTCCCTGGTGTACACACAGTGAGCAGCCTGTATGAGGTGTATCAATGTCCCTGATGTATACACAGTGAGCAGGTTGTATGAGCTGTATCAATGTCCCTGGTGTATACACAGTGAGCAGTCTGTATGAGCTGTATCAATGTCCCTGGATTATACACAGTGAGCAGTCTGCATGAGGTGTATCACTGTCCCTGGATTATACACAGTGAGCAGGTTGTATGAGCTGTATCAATCTCCCTGGTGTATACACAGTGAGCAGCCTGTATGAGCTGTATCAATGTCCCTGGTGTATACACAGTGAGCAGCCTGTATGAGCTGTATCAATGTCCCTGGTGTATACACAGTGAGCAGCCTGTATGAGCTGTATCAATGTCCCTGATGTATACACAGTGAGCAGTCTGTATGAGCTGTATCAATGTCCCTGGAGTATACACAGTGAGCAGTGTGTATGAGCTGTATCAATCTCCCTGGTGTATACACAGTGAGCAGCCTGTATGAGCTGTATCAATGTCCCTGATGTATACACAGTGAGCAGTCTGTATGAGCTGTATCAATGTCCCTGATGTATACACAGTGAGCAGTCTGTATGAGCTGTATCAATGTCCCTGGAGTATACACAGTGAGCAGTGTGTATGAGCTGTATCAATGTCCCTGGTGTATACACAGTGAGCAGCCTGTATGAACTGTATCAATGTCCCTGGTGTATACACAGTGAGCAGCCTGTATGAGCTGTATCACTGTCCCTGGTGTATACACAGTGAGCAGGTTGTATGAGCTGTAACAATCTCCCTGGTGTATACACAGTGAGCAGTCTGTATGAGGTGTATCACTGTCCTTGGTGTATACACAATGAGCAGGTTGTATGAGCTGTATCAATCTCCCTGGTGTATACACAGTGAGCAGTGTGTATCAGCTGTATCAATCTCCCTGGTGTATACACAGTGAGCAGCCTGTGTGAGCTGTATCAATGCCCCTGGAGTATACACACTGAGCAGCCTGTAAGAGCTGTATCAATGTCCCTGGATTATACACAGTGAGCAGGTTGTATGAGCTGTATCAATGTCCCTGGTGTATACACAGTGAGCAGCCTGTATGAGCTGTATCAATGTCCCTGGTGTATACACAGTGAGCAGCCTGTATGAGCTGTATCAATGTCCCTGGTGAATGCACAGTAGCAGCCTATATGAGCTGTATCAATCTCCCTGGTGAATGCACAGTGAGCACCCTGTATGAGCTGTATCAATCCCCCTGGTGTATACACAGTGAGCAGTCTGTACGAACTGTATCAATGTCCCTTGTGTATACACAGTGAGCAGCCTGTATGAGCTGTATCAATGTCCCTGGTGTATACACAGTGAGCAGTCTGTATGAGCTGTATCAATGTCCCTGGTGTATACACAGTGAGCAGACTGTATGAGCTGTGTCAATGTCCCTGGTGTATACACAGTGAGCAGCCTGTACGAGCTGTATCAATGTCCCTTGTGTATACACAGTGAGCAGCCTGTATGAGCTGTATCAATGTCCCTGGAGTATGCACAGTGAGCAGTATGTATGAGCTGTATCAATGTTCCTGGTGAATGCACAGTGAGCAGCCTGTATGAGATAAAAAGGCCCGAACTCTACACCACGTTTCCTTTCAGGATAAAGCCACTTCAACAATCTCACCTAACTGCAGTAATAAAGAATTTAAAACTCTGCTGAATGTTTATCTACAGGCTCATATAACATGAAGCGGGATGTAAGAGATATGTGAATGTCACGCAGGCACCTGACCATGGATTGGATCAACGGAGCCTTACCCCGACAAACCAGTGGTTGATATTATGATCACTCGCCGTCGGTTATCGAAGACGCGCCTTAATCCAGGTCACCGAGCCTGACCTCTAGATCCAATGCAATCATCTCTTCCAAGAATCAATAGAGATCCTGGACCTTCGCTAACCCTCTTCCTACGGGTTCGTTTAAAGTACGTCAGTTAATTTACGCTGCCTGCCCCACTTAGGGTGGCCCTAACTCCCGCCTACACCAAATTAAGAAACACCAAACCGGTAAATGCCCCCACTGCAACTTAAAAGAAACGCCTGAACACGTATACGTAATACTATATTGCACACATTACCAGCAACACAGAACAAAACTCCAATCCAAACTAATTGCAACAATCAAATGACACTAGCAACGGTACTAAACCCCCTAAATGATTTACAAAACTTAAAAGCACTAGGCATATATCTAATCAAAACAGGCCTGCTTGGCCGCATTTAAAAATAAAAGTACAACAAATAAGCTGCCAATAAACCCTAAAACTCTAAACCTGTAAAAACACACAAACTCCCTTTAGTTCCCCCCTCCCCCATCTCCACCTTTTGAATGGCATATTTCAAAATTCCAAATTTGTTCTCCAAATTATGTAAGCAACACTAAAAAACACCACCTAGGTTGCCTCACCTTTTTTCGGACATACCCTTTTCGACCAAACACCAATTGCCTGGCGGGCCCGTGCGCGAAATACGCATATGTCGGAAAGCGCACGTTAAATTTCTAAGTTAAGTAAGTAAGTAAGTCTAAGGCACCGCGCCGCATTTCGCTGAGCAGTGTTGCGTCCCTTGGGCACGCCAGGAACCTATGATTGTGGGCTCGATTCCTGGTTAGCCCTGTTATGTTTCTAGGTCTGTCAGCACCATACCTGTGCTCATGACTTTGCCGTTGTAGTAATGTAATAGCTATATGTGTGACATTTTAGGATCCCAATGATTCATGCACTCCAAATCGTTATCGTAACGGAGGCTCATATTTCATAGATCCCAATATGGATTTCAAGTGAATTAACGTTCCACACGTGATGCATGTTAATATACATGGAATTTCATATCAGGAAAATGCCGTTACATTCACATGTATGTAGACTTTGTGATGAAAACAGAACAGATAACAGGGGCATTCTCACACACTAGGGGGAGGGGGGGGGGGCACGGTTGGCCCAGTCGTCTAAGGCGCCGCGATTCGCTGTGCAGAGTTGCGTCCCTTAGGCACGCCAGAAACCTATCATTGTGGGTTCGAATCCCGGTTCGCCCCGATTATGTTTCTAGGTTTGTCAGCACTAAACCCGTGCTCGTGGGTTTCACCGAAGTGGTAAACCTCTGAGACCTGCATCACTTCAGGCTTTCCTCCCACATTAAGCTGACACGCCGTGATATGACTGGAATACTGTTAAAAGCGGCGTTAAACCAGACTCACTCACTCACTCACTCACTCACTCACTCACTCACTCACACACTAGGGTATTATGTGTCTTACTTAAAGAGACCAATTTCGCGACATAATTAATGAATATATTATTAAAGGGGCTATACCTAACAAAATAACTCACAGCAACTGAGTTTTTAACATTATGAAATATATCCTAACCGGTGAATAACTGACCTGATATTACAATGATAAGTGGGAAGTCGTGTAAGAGCAAGTAGCTATATGTGTGATTGGATACAGTGTTTCACCGCTCTCATCCGGCCCGTGAAGAGTTACGTCCCTCTGTCGTGCCAAAATCATGTGAACGTGGGTTTAAAAAGAATCCGTACTTTTTACTGATTCTGAAGTTTTTCAAGTCTACGATCTACGTCAATTTTGTCCCATGTTCGTGTTGTAATTGATACATACTACTTATATAACAAATTTTATTTCTCGTTCCAAAATAGTTTCTCGTACAAAATATTTTATCAAGAGAAATGAAATGCCCAATAGATATACCTGTTCACAGAAAGGCCTAGGGGGAGCGAGTACCTTCCTATGTTGTGATGTGCATCTTTAATTAGCATACAGTCGGACCCCGATCTCGATATCGTTATCTTAAATGTACCAACATCTCGAACCTATTCACTTGCCCCGACCATTATTGATGCACAACAAACTGATCTCGAATTCGAGATAAACACTTAGCCCTATCTCGAACCTTGGACTCGTCCCGACTTTGACTTTCTATAGACGTCTGTAAGTTGGTATTTGGCACGTTAACAGTTTTAAGAAGCGTGATACGCATTTCACATTGCATTGAGCAATTTCCTAGCTCTATTTAGTACCTTCCTGATACAGTCTTCATCAATGTAATTATCGTTTATGCAACTGTATTGTTATGGATCTAATAGTATTGCTTTATTTGTCAAACTGCTTCGGGGGGCACGGGTGGCCAAGTCGTCTAAGGCGCCGCGATTCACTGTGCAGAGTTGCGTCCCTTGGACACGCCAGAAACCTATGATTGTGGGTTCGAATCCCGGTTCGCCCCGATTATGTTTCTAGATTTGTCAGCACCATACCCGTGCTGGTGGGTTTCACCGAAGTGGTAAACGTCTGAGACCTACATCACTTCGGGCTTTCTTCCCACATTAAGTTGACACGCCGTGATATAACTGGAATACTGTAAAAGGCGGTGTTAAACCAAACTCACTCACTCACCCAAACTGCTTCGCTTAGGTGACTGCAATGGGGCGTATACTGTGTGTTTGTCTACAGTTCCTTTTGGAATACAATAGCTTTAACGTTAGCAGTGCCACTTGCTTCCCCAAGTATGAAACTAACAATGAGTACTATTAATGTGGTTGTACTTTGTTACACAGTGCCTCCCTCAGCCATATTTTTTTCATCATCAGTTCTTTATTCCCATCCTCTTTGCAGCACCAACAATACACTCACCCACCCACGAACACTCTCCCCCCTCCCCTCCCCCGTTCTTCTATATCAATCCGCCTCTAGTGGTAGAGCGTCCGCCCGGAGAGCGGAAGGTCCGGGGTTCGATCCCCGGCCGCGTCATACCAAAAGACGTTAAAAGATGGTACTTGTTGTTACCCTGTCTGGCGCTCGGCATTAAGGGGCTTAAACAAGGACTGGTCGGCTCGGTGTCAGTATACTGTGTCTGAGTCGGGTATTCATGTTAAACTGCGGCATGATATCTCAGTGAGCTAGCAC